GGACAGTTTATTGGAATGCTGAGCTGGCAGTGGCAAAGTGCAGAGTTGACTTCATGAACAGAATCAACCAAGGCTTTTTTTAAGGGGGTTCCAAAAGCTAAGGTGAAGGGGCCAATAAGATAACTCACAAGGTAAAAGTGCTTGCAGCATAAACCCGAGTGTTATGATGCAGCGCACAGGGCTTGGCAGATTCCATGGCAGGAGAGGGTGACTGAGGAGGGAGACAAACATGCCAGGCAGACAGAGCTTAAGTGAGAAATTTTATTAGGAATGCAAGGAAGGGGGAAGGAAAGAGAGAGGAGGTAAAGAGACACATAAATAGAGAGAGGACAGGAGAGAAGAGAAGAGGGAGACAGCAACAGCAGGAAAGAGATCTGGAAAGAAAGACAGTAAGTGGGCAGGGTCCCTTTGCACCTGTATGCAGACTAGTAGTCATGGAACCCTGTCTGAGTGTATTCTGCCAGGTAGGTGACAGGGGCAGGCCAGCGTAATGCCTGAATCTTTACACTGGGAACCTAAGTTTGATTCCTGGTACCCATATACAGGCAAAGGTGTCCCCAAAGTTGTCCTCTGACTTCCACATGTACACTGTGGAATATGTGCTTTCCCCAATTCCCCCCCACCCCCACCCCGCCATGCCCGTGATGAACACACAAGCTGAGGCTCCGGAAGAGAACTCTCCAGGCCATGATGTAATGTAAGTTATTCTACCAACTACAACTAGAATAGCACTATCCTGGTTCAGGCCTTGCAACCAGCCAGCACTGGGGCCTTGAGACATTCCCCTGTTTTCCTCTGGCCTTACCTGTTCCAAGATTTCTATTTCAAATAGATTCCCCAACCCTGTCTGCTGTGCACCCAACCATATAGCTAGCTGCACCTTTAAAACCACCAGGGCAGCTTGGCAAACTCCCAACAACTGGTGAAACTGCAAACCAGCTAAAAATCTGGAGGTCTTAAGGCTCCCCAGGTGAGCCCAGTGTGTGACCTACCACAGTGCCCAGTAAACTGGGCATATGCATAAATTGACCAGAGGTCAGGGGGTAGGGATTTGTGCACACATGGACTGGGTAGGTCTAATTAGCTACCAGGACACACATATGGGCACAAGTCACAGAGGAGCAGCAAGGCCTACGCATGTCCCAAAGTGTGTTCCAGTGGAGAAGAATGGCCTCCCTGGTCAAGTGTGAGTGCAAACACTACATGTCCTTCCCATTCCTTTTGACAGTCCAGATGGGCTTGGTTTGTCACAGTTATGAGGGGCTCTGTGCCAAGAAAACCAGTCTATCACCTGGCTCTTAAGGATTCCCAGAATTCTTTGTACCGCCAAGTTCCTGGAAATATCCTGTGTAACATGGTACTTTTCAGCTGTGTGCTTTAGGGACTACTTGAATGAAGGGTTCATGGGGTGCTGGAAGTATGGGCCATGGGTGGTGTCTGAGTTGGAAACCAGGCCAGAATGAGGGGGCCAGGGGGTGGGGCAGTGGGGAATGGGGACCAAAGAGCCTATTGGATAGGATGTTAGAGCCTGGGGTGGAGAAGGAGCTATGGGAAGCAAGTGGGTGGCAGAGGAGGGCTCAGCAAGTGCCCTCACTGGGAGCTGCAACACAGTGCTGCTTTTTATAGTCCCATGGGCTAATGCCTGACATAATAAAACACATATGCATGTACACACACACACACAGGCATGCAAACACGACAGTGGTTTCTGTGGGAAACAGTCCTGGGGATAAAGCCACCACCTGTAGCTAGTCATAGGAGAAAGTGGAGCCGACCAACAGGAAATGGAACTAAAGTATGACTGTTTACAGCCACCTACATTTCTCGAACCGTGTCTCACTATCAGGAACCAGCACTTCCTGGCTAACATGGAAAGGCTCCGGCTGTACGTCCTAGAACCATCCCAACAGGCCCAGGGGTGCAGCAAGATGGTTCCCATTTCACAGACAAGCTGACATTGGGAGAGGTTGCCTGGCTTGCTCAAGGTCTTATTTGGAAAGGCTGGCTATTTTCAGATTCGGGCCTTTCTGCCAGGTAAGGAAACCCTGCTCCTCCACCCATGATTGACAGACATGGTTGGTTACTCTCTAGAGCCAGTCCTAAACTAAGAACTTGAAATGCCCATTTTTCAAAAGCCAAGGTATCACAGGTGGGTCTCCAGTCTCACTTTTCCATCTAACCCAAAGACCACTTATTTATTTACTTATCTTTTGGCTGTTGTTTGGAGACAAGTCCCTGGTTCCTAACCTGGGCTGGCTTGGAACTCTCCACCTCCTGCCTCCACCTCAGCACTGGGATTACCCATACCATACACATTATCTTCAAGTACCCTACCCCAAACCCAGCCAGGCTTTAGACACTGGGCGGGCCCTGGAGAGGTGGCAGCCATTCGTCCCCTCCAGTCTGGCACCATGGCACCTGTCTTTTCTTCCCTCTGGGAAGGCACCCCTAGAAGGTGGACCTGACCTGAGTTGAATCTTAGCAGTCATTGATTTCAGGGCATCTGCCCTCCCCCAGCTCTAGGGAACCATAGAGGGCATGGCAATGGTCCAAGTGGCCCTGTGCTCCAAACACAGAGAATGCCCTAGACAGGGGTGTCCTGGTGCAGGGAAGGGCTGGCAAAGCCTGCTGGGGCAGGACCTGCACCCAATGAAGGAGGGCCACTTAGGAGAGGGAGGGGGTACCAGCTTACAGGTGGGAGGACCTTGTACCAGATAGGAGGAGGTACTGAGTTCTCTATGTAAGCTGTAGATGGGTTCTGGTTAAAGGGACAGCCCAGGGCCCTTCATTTTTTTTTTTTTTCAACAAATATTCCCTATTTTTCAAATATGGACACTGGCCTCAGAGAGGCTCAGTAGTTTGCCCAGTACTACACTGCCTGCCCCTTCACAGCAGGGTTCTCCTCTCTGGGCCCCTGTATTTGTAGACTATGTTTACAGTGGGCTGAGGGAGAAGGACTTAAAGGAAGGACTGGGGTAATGACCCAGAGGCGAGGTTTAGGCAAGAGAGAGAGGACAGGAAGTCAGCACAGGGCTGTCACAATAACCAGACAATGATCATGAAAGAAGGCTGGCCTGGGACTGCCACGTTCATTTGCACTGGTTGTGTACTGCATTAACTCCCAGGGGTGGCATCCCCACAGACAGCCAGAAGAATAGTTCTTCCTTGAAGTTGTATAGCCCAGGGGCTCTAGGGGACAGATAGATGGAGAGAGCAGACACACATGACTGATTGGAAGTATGGGGACAAGCTGTCAGCCAAACCCATACTGTTATCACAAGTTTTGTTTCCTCCAGGGGGAGAAAGTGGCAGCTAAGCCCCAAATGCATTGCATACCACACCCTGAGTCAGTTGGATTTGCATTTCTACAGCAAAGATTCTGGGGCTTAAAGGGGTCTCAAGAGCCAATAAGGTTGGTAAAGTACCTCTTCCAGATGGGATGTCCTTAAGGTGCCTAGGGTCATTCAAAGTCCAGAGGCATAATGGCTCAGCAGATTAGAGATGCCACCAAGATGGATGACCTGAACACAGGATCCACATGATGAAAGGAAAAAACCACCTAACTCCCACAGCTTGTCCTTTGGCCTCCATTTACACACACACACACACACACACACACACACACACACACGTAATAAAGTTTGGAGGCCAAGAAGCCCAGGTCATCTCCAGGCTCCCTATAAAAGAGGCCCTCTCTGGAGTGTCTCTTATTTATATTCACCCCACAGTTCCCTGCCCCATAGACTGACAAAGGTCTTCAAGTCAGGACCTCTGTGTCCAGGTGATGCCAGCAATGTGGGCCTAGAGAAGCACTCTTCTGCCTTGCCATTCCACCTGGGAGCTCCTATGATGCTCAGGTTGTCTCCTAGCAACAGTATGCTTCTAATGAGGAACCAGGACAAGCTCTACAAGTCCTTCTTAGCAATGCTGCTCCTTTCTCCCAGGCTGGGACAGAGGGGCAAGGAGAGGCAGGGATGCAGAGAAGCCACAGGACAAGTAAAGAGAGCTGGCTAGCAGGAGTCCTGGGTCCAGACTGGTGTGCCAACCCATGCATCTCTAAGTCCTCCCCTTAGCTGTTGCTAGTGTCTCAGATTCCTCACAGGGCAGCAGGTACAACTGGGTATAGTCTAAACAGAAAGGATGGGTAGCAGTCAGAGGTCAGCCATGGACAGTGTGGGCACCTAGCTTGTGCTGCAACTATTCCAACAGCCCACCTGGCCCTGTGTCTGTCTCTTGCTGAGACCTGGCTCCAAAGGGAAGGTGTCCTGCGCTGAGACAAAAACAGCAGAAAGAGAGGATGGAGAGGGATAAGAGACTTGGCAAGGAGGGGGGGAAAGAGAGAAGAGAACAATAGCACAAAGTATGTGGTTACCTAGTAAGGCCAGGCCAGCAAATGGACATTGGGCCTCTGACTTGCTTCTTCCAGGAGTACAGCCGTGAACAATCTCTCTGGGTTGGGGGAAGCTATGAGGTAACCCCTGTCAACTTCCCATGGGGGTAAATGGGAGGCAGTAGTCAGGGAAGAGGGACCCACAACACTGGTTGCAAAAAGCCAGTCCATGGTAACTGTAGAGGATGCAGGGTGAGGCCCTACAATAGGGACCTGCCTGCTCTTGTAGGTTAGGGATGGGCCAGCTCCTTTCTCTAGCAATATTCTCTTTTTAGGCCATGAACACGGGACAGCTGGGCAGGACAGAGCTCTAGTGAGGCTAGGCCCAGGAGACAGCAGGCTCCACACTTCCAAACTTTACCCACTCTTTACCTGGAACAAAGTATTTGCCCCCAAATTATTCTTGAGCAGGACAAGCCTGCTCCCACTGTCCTAAGAAGCCAGCCTCAGGGACACAGTGTTCTGTGACCCTGTTGCCTACCCTACCTAGGACCACCTCCACCCTACAAAAGCTGGCTGGCAGAGTGTTTCCCTAGCATGCATGATGCTCTGGCATGGTGGTTCATGCCTGTAACCCTAATTCTCAGGGCCAGTTTAATACCATCCTTGGGTGCTCACTTCAGCAGCACATAAACTAGAACCGGAACAAGACAGAAGAGATTAGCATGGCCCCTATGCAAAGATGACACGTGAATTCATTAAGTGTTCCACCTTTTTTTTTCCCCTTGAGACAGGGTTTCACTGTGTAACAGCCCTGGCTGTCCTGGAACTCACTCCAGGATGACCTTGAACTCACAGAGTTCCACCTGCTGGAGAGATGGTTCAGCAATTAAGAGGATTTGTTGCTCTAGTAAAGGACCAGGGTTCAGTCCCTAGCACCCACCCACATGGAGGCTCACAACCATTCCTAACTCTAGTTCCAGGGGCTCTGATATCCTCTTCTGCCCTCCTTGGGTACTGCACACATAGGTACAGAGACATGCGTGCAAATGAAATACCCACACATATAAAACTAAAGCAGTAAACCTAAGGCAACTGCTCCAGGGGAGCCCTCTGGCAGAAGCCTGTAAAGACAGCACTGTGGGAAGGCAATCTTAGGGTGAGCAAGGCAGCCACATTCTCAGGGCAGGGTGGTGGATACTCAGTTTCCTGCACTGTTGGCCCAAGCAACTTAATTCAGGTAGACACAGAAGTGTCTTAGAGAGAGACTGGAGGATCAACACCCCAATATGTTACTTTGACATAGTATTATTTTTGCTTTTTGTATTTTTATTTGTTTTAAAGACAAGAGTTTCCCTGTGTAGCTCTGGCTGTCCTAGAATTGTCTCTGTAGACCAGGCAGGCCTTGAAACTCAGAGACCCTCCTGCCTCTGCCTCTGCCTCTGGAGTGCTGGGGTTAAAGGCGTTCATGCCTGGCTGATACAGGATTCTTTTGAGTTAAAGACAACAGAGAAATTGCTGACACCATGTGTGGATAAGCAGGTTAGACATCCACCTTCATAAAGAAGACTTGATCCAGGCAAGGTGGTTCATGCATGCCTGTAATCCCAGCCCTCAGGAGGCCGAGGTAGGAGGGGTTACTATGAGTTCAAGCCTAGCTTAGAAAACAGTAAGACTTCATCTCAAAAAAGGAAGAGAGAAAAATAAAAAGTGGAAAAAAATAAATCAAAAAAGAGGAGGAGGAGGGGAGTGACAACATGAATTTGTAAATTTGTGCCAGGGAAAGAGTAGCAAGGGTGTGGATCTCCAGCCTTGGCCACAAAGCAAGTTCCAGGCTGAGGGCTACATAGTGTGGGTGGGGGCGGGAGGGTGGGGGTCAGGGTAGAGACAGACACACGCTACAGAGAGACCAGAGGAAGGGTGGAGAGGAGGAGAGAAGGAGAGAGGGAAGGGCTGGGCCGGGGAAGGGAGGGGTGGGGCCAGGGGAGGGTGGGAGAGAGACTGAGATTTCTTCCTGTCAGTTTAATTTCTCCTCTACCTAGAGACCAGTCCTCTTCCTGCCCTGTGTGAAGGGTAACCTGGTGGTGGAGTACTTGAACTTCCATACCCGAGGCCCTGGGGTCAGTCCCTAGCATGCTCCCTACACAAAACTAAAGGTTTATGCTGTGTCACAGTATTCTTAACAGCTTTTGTTTTCCTGGTCACAAGAATGTAGCAGGGACCAAGATAGCTCAGCTATTCGCCTTTAACTTCTAAACTTTTAAACGTATCTTCCCTGAGATCAGATAGTCCCCACCCTGCAGGAAGGCCGAGGGCTGAGTTTCCCAGTAGGAACAGCTGGTGACAGAGCGTGGGAACAAGGGTGAGTGGATATAGGTGACTCAGGGATGTAGGCCTAGCTACCAGGGAAGGTCAGCACACCCAGGGCAAAAAGTATCAGTCAATTAAAGTCTGTTTTATAATCTGAAATTACTGCATTTTCTAAACCCTGTGCTTTGCAGATATTCCTGGAGAAACACACCAGTTACCACTCCCAGTAAGCAGGGAAAATAGTAACATGGATGGGGATTAAGTATTTTGCTGTAGACCCAACTAGTATTTGACAGGATCAAAAGGTAAACCTCAGGCCTCAAAGCCTTGCTCTCAAGTTTAATTTCACAATTTGGGGTGGGTGAAAAGATGGTTCCAGTGGTTAAAAGTACTGGGTGCTCTTCCTGGGTTCAATTCCCAGGAACCACAGGACAGTTTACAACTGTCTGTGATTACAGTTCTTGGGGATCCAATGCCCCCCTTTGGTCTCTGTGGGTACTGCATACATGTGATACACACAAATGAAGGCAAAACTCATACACATAAAATAAAAATAAACTGGCTAGACACAGTGGTATGTGTCTTTATTCCCAGCACTCTAGAGGAACTCAGAGAGGATCTCTGTAAGTCATGGCCAGCCTGGTGAATTCCAGGACAGCCAGCACTACATAATAGAGAGATCCTGTCTAAATAAATAAATAAATAAATAGTATTTTTTCTAAAGAATTTTTTTGGGGGTGTGTGGGTTCAAGACAGGGATTCTCTGTGTAATCCTGACTGTCATGAAACTCGATTTGTAGACCAGGCTGGCCTTGAATCCATTGAGATCCTCTTGCCTCTGGTTCCCAAGTGCTGGGACTTAAAGGTTATGTGCCACCACCACCAACTTTAAAAAAGAAATTTTATTTAAAAAAAATCATAATTTGGAACCCAGCATGGTGGCATATAACTGAAGTCTCAGCTACTTTGGAAGCTGAGGCAGGGGTATTATCCAAGGCAGATCTTTGAAGCCAGAGTAGACAATTTCCATCTCAAACAAACAAACAAAACATGAGTATTCACTTCAGCAGCACACATGCTAAAACTGGAAAAACATATAGAAGATTAACATGGCTCCTGTGCAAGGGATAACATGAAAATTTGTGAAGGGTTCCATATATAAAACAAACAAACATGAATTAACTCTGCCACCAAGGCCAGTCAAGATGGTGTCAATTGGTTGGTAGGCACTGCCTTCTAACCCATAGCAGCAATAGGGTCTGGCTTATGGCTAGGAGTCTGCTTTGAGGTACAGAGACAAAGCAGATCAGACAGAAGCAGGAAGCTGAGCACCATTCCTGGAGGTCTGTCTGTCACAGCAGCAGAGATCTGGAGACAGGAACCAGGAGGGGACTCACATGTAAGTGACAGTCAAGCTGGAAACGGCCTGTTGGTAGATGGAGGAAGAGATGTGACTAGGAGGGATTGCTCCAGTGGTGTGTGGCATTTAAGGATGAGGCCAGGGAGAGGGTCTCCTAGTGCCAGAGGCACAGGTGAGGCTTGGTCAGTGTGGCCACTGTTACTAGAAATCCCATGTGCAGGACAAAGTCTGAGAGCCTGGGGTGTAGTGGGAGGGGCTCTGGGCCTTCTGCTGGCTCTCTTTATGAGTTCTTTCCCAAGCATCCATGAATTTTGAGGCCTTTGAGAGTCTCCTAAGTGCTCCTGGGTTTCTAGGTTGGAACCAGTTCCTCCCCAGCACAGGGGTGACCTTCCCATCTGGGACCCATCCACCCAACTAGTATGTCCCAGCGGTGAACGAGGCAGGATGCTGAGTGCTGGAGGCGCACACTCGGGGACCCAGGGAGAGGTCCTGGACGTGGACAAGAGAGACTGGAGAAATGGGGGCACCCCGGTGTGGACAGGCCAGGAAGGCTTTTCTGTGGAGGTGGCACTGGGGCTGGTACCTGATTACAAAGGGTAGAGAGGGACAGGGTCCTGAGTAGGTTAATTCTCTGAATGTGTCGGTTGGTGTGTCAACTTGACACAAACCTAGACATATCTGGGAAATCTTAACTGAGAAAATTTTCCTATCAGACTGGCCCATAGGCATGCCTGTGGTATACTGCTTTGATTAATAATTGATATGGGACGGCCCAGGCCCCTGGAGGCTGTACCAGCTTTGGGCAGGTGGTCCTGGGGTGTAAGAAGTATTCATTCCTCCATGGCTTCTGCCCAGCTCCTGTCTGGAGTTCCTGCCCTGGCTTCTCTCAGTGATGGAGTATGACTTGAAGAGTTGTAAGATGAAATAAACCTTTTTTACCCCAAGTTGCGTTTGGTCATGTTCTTTATCGCAGCAACAAAAAGAAAAATAGGACAACAAGGAAGACAAAAAGGCCAGAATGGTTGGGACAGTGAAAACCAGGAGAGGCAGCAGGGACCAGGTCCCAGGTTCAGGGACCTGAACCCTCACAGGAAGTGGTGAGCGAGGGGATGAGGACTTAATTCAAGCAAGATTGTAGCAGGGAATTGTTGACCAACAGCATCAACTCTACACTTGGGCCTGCAGGGGCCAGATGGGATTAATAGCAAGATAATATTTGGTCTTTCTGTTTTCATTTTGTGTCTGTCTCCTTGGTCTTAAAACTTTGGGTCAGACCCCTGCTTAACTGTCCATCAGCATGTTAGTCACTCAGAGTGTCTGACTAAACACTAGTGACTCAAGGATGGTTAGTATAAGTAAGCTCTAGCCTAACTTATCTGCAAGACTCAAGGCTCCAAGATAAGAATAACAGGGAAGTTTTACTGTTTGAGTGTCCTCTCTTCCAGACCCCTAGAGTAGCGCCTAGAAGTCTCCAGTCATTGCCCTAAATCTGGGTTCCAGACAAAGTCTAGCAGACTGATCATATATGAAGAGTCCACCCTGCCCCACCCCTCCAAGCAGGAACTCCATGATGGAAACTGAACTTCTCTTCCCCTGCTAAGTGGGAGCAGTCATCTCCTAGGCACCCAACTGTTCCCTGGAGCAACAGCAGGGTGATCTCTGAAGCCACCTCTCAGAACAAGAGCTGAAGTGTGGCCAGTCTTGGCCAGCTGGACCAAGACTATCACACCCCTTCCCCTGGCCTGCTTCCTCCTCTAGGCAAACCTGCATCCCAGGGCAGCATCCTGTAGGGAGTTGCTTACTCTCTGCTGTGTCCCTGTAAGGTTGTACCAAGCCTTTCCAGCATCATTTTCTGGTTTGATTTTCCAGACAGGTGGAAGGGTCCTCCTTGTAAGGAGTTGGGGGTCTGGCCTAGGGAAGATCTTAGCAAGACCATTCTGAAGTGAGATGCAAAGACAAGGAACATTCTGAGGACATGGCAAAGGAAGGAACCCCATGCTCTGGAACCTGATTAAAGCCTCTCCATTGAGAAGTGAGAATCCCACCACAATTAACATTTGTTGGGGAGTTGCTGGCATGCTGACACTGTTTCTTTCATATATGGACCTTTGGCACTAACATCAGTGACTCTTTGGTTAGCATCAAGGTCTGAATGAGTGTGAATTTGGGCAGGTTCTCCCTCCTTTCCTCACATACTTTCTGGGGATCTGAAGGCTGTTAACTTTGCTACCTCCTTGTATCTCTGTGACCTCACTGGCTATAATCCCACTGGGGATCCATCAGGAGCCATCCTGTGATCTCATTTGTGTTTCTTAGCAACCTTCTGAAGGTAACAATCTCAAATCCTGCCAAAGTCCTACCTACAACTGCATAAAGACCATGGAGTAAGAGTCTCTGTCTCAGAGAGAACCCCCCCCCACTGTGCTCTCCAATGCATCTGTATTTCTAAGCACACCCTCATTACTCTCATAGTTAAGAATCTATAGTAAAAACATCTTATAATAAAAAGATCAACTCTGCTTCATAGGGCTTACTCTGAAATTTGTTTCTGTGTCAAAGCCACAAATCCCAGCTTGGCCTGAACTGAAGCCCTTAAAAGATTAGGGAACTCGCCAGGCTGCTATGGGCAGAGTGGAGCTGTGCCTCCTGCTTCTGCCTCCCTAGACAAGTTCCAGGTCTGACTTAAGGGCTTAGAAGACAATTCTGGTATCTGTATAAAAGATTTGTCATAGAAAGGCAAGAGAGTGTAAGATGTGGGTTGGAGGGCAGCTACAGGCTATGCAAGGGTTGGGAGAAGGGCACAGGTGGCTCAAGACATGTTCTAGAACAAACCCACAGGTCTTTGCAGTGTTCCAGAGAAGGAGGAAGGAAAAAGCAAGAGTGGGTTGACTAATGACAACTGACCTTTGACTTAAGCAACTAGATGGGGAGCCCAAGCAGTACATTGTTTGGGTAAAGTAGACTGGAGAGTAGTACCAGGCTGGGACCTCTCTCAGGCACATGTCTACAAAGGCACTTTCATCTTGTCCTATGGTGCCTCAGATGAGCCACCAGACACAGGGAAGTCTCAGTTATGAGCTCTGTCATATAGCTTTCTATAACCTACTATGGTATTCTCTGCTCAGCTCAGAGAAGGAAGCGATATGGCCCTGCTAGAAGGACATAATTCAGGACACTTGGCCTAAAGGAGGGTGGGGAATGATTCAGGAACTATTCTAGGCTGAAGGTCATTAAAGAGACATGACAGCTGAAAATACTGTGTGATTATGGCTTAGATCTGAGGCCAGAACTAGAAGCTAGAGATTTGGGGAAATATGAAAGCAGTTTATGTTAGATATTACACTGCATCCATCCAAAATTTCCTGCAAGAGAAAAGATTGTTGTGGTTATGTGGAAGAGGACCTTTGGGCTTAGAGACCATTAAGAGTTTAAGAATTAAGGTCAGGTGAGGTGGTGCATAGCACTCAGCAGGAGGATCAACATTTCAGGGTTACCCTCTTCTACATAGGGAAGTCGAGGCTAGCCTGGCGTACACGAGACCCAGTCTCAAACAAATAACAAATTTTAGAATCAAATGTCATTATGTTTGCAACTAACTTATAAGCCCCACCAAAGCATGCAAACAAATTCCCAGCAATAAACACACACACACACACACACACACACACACACACACACACACACACACACCAATCTGCTAACTGCTGAGTTTAAATGAATGTATTTGTTTTGCTCTTATCGTTCTTCTAAAAGTTGAAAGTTTTTAAAACTAAAGTCAGAGCACAGCATCCAGTGACTCTGAAGCCCTCTGTCTGGAAAGCAAAGGCACGGCTCATTGCATAGCAGGAATGCTTTCTTCCTTAGCTGAGAATCCACTGAGCTGCTCCTATAGAACTGTGGATGCTTTGGGCCAGGGTGCAGTTCCAAACTGTGGCCTGAGGATACCTACCAGACCACAGGACATATGAGCACACAGCTGGGTCAGGCATCAGCCATTTGCAAGGGACAGTCTTTCCTCACCCAGCCTCCACTTCTGTACTCAGAGGAAAGCATGGGCAGGCACCAGCCAGAGTGCAGAGTGCAGTGCAGTACAGCTTCATGGAATTGCCCTGAGGACTTCAAAACACAGAGGTCACCTCTGGGGTCAGAGGCCCAGCCTGAGTATAGGACTCTTACAGGTCATTCTAACGTGCCCAAAGCTTAAGGACACTGATTTAGACGGTGACTTTGTGTTAGAATTCCTCGGGAGAGGAGAAAGGGAGAGGGGGTGGGGGGAGGGAGGAGGGAGGACTAATTAAATGAGAATCTCTATGGGGCAAGACTCAGTTACCCTTGCTTTCTGACAGCTCCTTCCTGATTCCAGCGAGCAGCCAGGCTTGAGAACACTGGTTTAGGCTGTGGTGCTTCTGAGAGCTAACCTCTTACATGAGTGCATGCATGTGTGATGTGTTTTCCCACATGTGTCAGAGATTCACTTAGCTCACTGATGAGGGAAGGTAATAGAGAGAGCAGGTTCACAGAACAAAGTGGGGCCAGTGTATTCGTGGTCTCTGAAAGAGTGCATGCTGAAATGGGACAGCACAGCCAGGCATATAAATGGTTAACAAAACTAAAACCTTTCCCCCTGCTGGGGGCAGAAAAGATGGAGCCTGTGTACCCACTCCCTACAGCTCCATGGAGCCCTGCCTTAGTGAGGCTAAGTCAGAACAATGCCCCTGGGCATCAGGGTGGGGCTGTCCTGGGAGAGAGGCACCTCAGGCCAGCTGGGGCAGGCAGCCTGCAGGCTGGGGTGAGTGAATGGA